ATAATAAATAAAATGCATCGTGAAAATATCGTAGAAGTTAGGTACTTATATTAAATTGACAGAGGTCTTAAGAGCTTTATTGTTGTTTGGGTGTGGCTTCGTAAGGTGAATCTGTATTCACCGAGCTGATGCGAAACGTGGGACTAGAATCCTTAATTCGGCACACATCTATTGCGAAGCTACACTAGTGCAGTTTATATTTATTTGTATCGTCTTTATTTCTTAGGCTTATATATACAGAGTTTGAAGCGTGTGAGAAAGATACAATAGTATATATAGTATGTGTGTGCTCGGAATGTATAAATACTATTCGAACACAAATGTTTCCTTGTCTTTCGTTACTTTTGCTTTGTAACTGACCGGTTTTTTTTTCTATACCTAGCAAAGATTTTCCGGATAAAATACATAAATATTATTGGATATTATTTTAAAATGATAATTCACCGTCACGGCGGTGGACGTAAATTACGCAATAGAACAAAAATCGCAAGTTAACAAAACAGTTCTTGAGTTACAAACGAACGATGAACATTAATCGTAAAAAATATTCTCGTATTATTATTATCATCAGATTATATAGCAGATTTGAAGAGGAGAGCGAAGTGGAGATTATCTCTCCTCTTGCAAGACATTTTACTTTTAATTATTCTTTGAATTATGAAGATTTTCCCAAGGTCGTAACAGGAGGAGGAGTTTCAGTGGTATACGTTTTAATGCAAAAACCCATGAATTTATAGTACCTAGGTACATTAAACAAATTTTAGACACTCTCCCCCATGAAAAGTGTTCATCAATACCTATGATACAAATTCGCCCATCAATAAATATATCATAAATCCATAAATGGGCATCAGATTCGCTATTGTTATTATAACACATAAACAGTCCAAATTTACCTAAAATTGTTATTATAACTATCCCGGATCATATAACCAATACTAACAATACTTACCTACTATATAAATAAAAATGTAAATTAAAATTGTTTGTAAAATAAGCTTGACCCAAATTTCAAAGCCATATAAAAGATATAACTATAATAAGTAAGACGATTCCAATTTTAAAATTCACTCAATTAATAATTATAGTAATTTAATATTTTTTAACAATTTAAGAGCTTTTATTATAATTGTTTTTAATTAATAAACGATTTTTGAATGTGTATTATAGCCGTTATACCCGACACAGTGTAATATACTAATAATAAGAATATATAATATAGAGTATTAGTAGTAGATATTAACTATTTTTTTTATAGTAAGTTACATCACATGGACTTCTGCCCAATGGCGGTTAGCCGTTGAATCTATATACCAACATAAAAAAAAACTATGTTAGTAATAACTGTTATAATTTTGGGGGAACTGCGACCCACAAGGCCCCCTTATATACGATACTGCCCCCCCTAACACGGTTCGGCTGGCATTCTATAAATTTACTTATTACTTGTATTTAATAAAATGATGTATCGATGGGAGGGAAAAAATTGAGGAACAGTTGTCTCAACCTATTGTGGGTAGGTGGGTGGGTACTTGCTATGCAGGTATGCTTTGCCGAAAACTGACTTCGGCGTCACTGATAATAAATATTCAGTACTATAGTTTTATATTATTCTCAGTGGAGGTCAACTATTCGTAAAATATTTAACAGGCTGTACTCTGTTAAACAAAATAGTCATTATGATAATAATTTATAAACATCATTTTTAAAAACTATTATATTATTATTACTAAAAGGGTAATCTGATTGCCTATAGCAAGGAACCCTCCCCCACTGATGTCCACTTAAATAAAATGTACAAATAAAAATATAATTTAATAACAACTATACAAAAATATTTTACACGAACACCATAAAAAGATTTCATCAATATTTTAATATTATAAATATATATATTATAATTTTAAAACAAAATTATTTAATTCTTTTGAAAGCATTTCATCAAAGATATTTATTTAAAATATTTAACATTTTATAAATAAAGTTGTTTTTATTAAAATTGAAACAATATCCTCTAAAAAATACATAATTTTGATTTTGATTTTTTGTTTTATAGACATCTGAGTTCTAAAGTACAAACAAACTTTACAATTTTTTTTTTTTCATATCAGTCAAATGTTAAATTTAGCTATACTCTGTATATGATATACCTAATCGGCCGACGAAAGTAATATGTATGTAATATGTTAGATAGGCACAAGACAATAATATTGTATTTCCAGAATTATATTAAAAGATAAATATTTTATTGTTTCTTGTAATAAATATTTCATGTTATAAATACATATTTCGTTAAAATGTTACCTGCCTACTCAATTCAATAATATTATTTAATACATTTTACCGTATATTGTACAAATTTAAACTCAATGACACAATAATAATACTATATTACGATCCCATATAAATAAGTAAAAATAATAGTTTTGGGTAATGTATAAGAGACAAATTTACACAATTGCCGCCCGTAGGCAGATTTTATTTTGTCGCCCCATTAAATTTATCAATGAGAAAACAAATTTTTAAGTACTTATTTAACATAACATCTAAAAAAAAATCCTATAAATCCATAATCCTATGTTCTATTCAAACAAATATTGTTTATAAAATATAGTGTTTAATCATCAATAATATCCGAATATTAAGCCTATCTACCTTGAATATTGTGTTGAAAATAATTAAATGTCCAATCAGAATAAACGCATGGATAATACATATTCTTTACTCAGCCACCCTCATTTCATAGTCACGAAAAAAATTATTATTATAATTTTATCTTTCGGATAGAAAAAAGTTTTATTTTTATACACGTAGTGTGTAATAACCAACACTTGATAAATATGCATAAAATTAAATTAACTTTTAGATTATGAAAATGTATTACTATTAATTATAGGGAAGTAGTTTCATTCAATTATGAAGATTAAAAATTACCTTACAAAATCTAAAAAAAAAACTAGTATTCTCAATAAAATAACGGCGTACAATTTTCGACCCTAAAAATTTGCCACCCTAAGAAACTGCTTACTTTGCCTGACACTAAATCCACCGCTGTATATTATTGTAACTGCAATGAATGGGTATAGGTACACCGTTGAAAAATATATCATTGTATTTAACGACATTTATCAAGGACATTTCGAAACCGCCTTTGTACAACAAAAAGTGCATTAACGTGTAACACGCTTTATAAAAATCTTCGTGAAAGTATACTGCTGCTGCTAACTACTCAGTGACCTAGCGAACTATTTTTTTTTTTTAAATTAGTCGCTTCTAGATTTCGATTGGATAGTAGACGGGTCCTATGAATATTGGTCACTTATTCACATGTTGGTAAGTACATGTTGGAGAAAATCATAGCATATATCATTGTATACTTTAGATCAGTGCATAGTGTAAGTTACTGGATTGAGATAAATAGTGTATTGAAGCATTTTTCGAGGGAAGGATTAAGATGATTTTCCAAATAAGGACAGATTCCACCACAGAAAAACAAACTTGTCAAAATTGCTATGGGCCTACTGTAAAATTGATAATAATTATGTACATAAATGTATAGATTTCGTGAAGTATTTGATATAAACACTTGTTATTATACCGTCTCGTTACTGCTTTATGGTTCAAAACTTGTCAGAACTTACCTATCGATTTTTTTTATAATTTCATAACAAACAAAAATGTATTCATATTGGTATACGTACATACTACCTATTATATTACGATGCATGCCATTAATAATAAATACTATTCACTAATTTTTTTTTTCCGATACCGTATTAACAAATTTATTTTATAATAACTTTTGACTATAAATCCATTACTAAAGTTTTGAGTTTCAAACAAGATAATTTGATTTTATGTTCAATTATAAATTCATACATTTTTACGTTCCTTAAATGAATTTTAATTAACTTATAATAAACGTATAATAGTATTGTATTTAACAATAATAATATTTTATTTTAGTGTAAATTATAATTAACATGTTATTTGAAATAAAAAAAAGAAAAATGAATTTCGAAGAAAATTTGTTACTAATCAAAAAATAGAATTACAAAGAATAGGAACTACAGCAATTATTATTTAACATTAGGCAAGTATATTATTTAATTATTCCATTTATTAAGTTTAATAATATTAAAAAAGATGGATTTACATCGCACGTGGATGCAGCTACTGTTGTAGGTGGGAAATTGGGAAGGTAAGTTACATAAGATTATTTCATTAATATCTGTTAGCAACGATAAATCATTGTTAATGAAAGACGATTCCGAGTGCAGTTCGGTAATACTTAATTAACAAGGGCCGTATTTTATTTTATTTTTTTTTTTTTGCGATTTTCGTTTAAATTTGATTTTAAAACAATCATTTAAGAAAAAAAAAAGTCGTCCGATGATTTTGAAAATTTTACAACATCTAGGTAAGTCCATAATATTATTATTATTGTTATTCAAGTCTCTACGTGTATTTATAACCGAATTACAGAAAAAGAACTTCCAAAAATTAAAATTCCTTAAAAGCTCAAAAATAGTACAAGTCATGGCGATAATACCGTAAGAAATTAAATCAAAAAGGCAACTAGAAAAAGATCTTGTGATTTTTCGATAAAATCATTTTTTCTTGTAGAAAACGTCGTCCGTGTATTTTATAAAATAATGTGAAATTTTACGTTTTCCTGCGTTTTTTTTAACCTAAGTGCTTTTAAATAAAAAAAAAAAGGCATCGAAAACGAAAAAATTACCTAACCTTTAAAGTACAATCTAGACTTTTTTCAGAAAAGTTGCTCCACGTAAAAATCGCAGCAAGTTTACTAGGAAAAAAACGTGCCCATAGACTAGAAGAAGAAGAAAGAAGAAAACAAAATTAACAGCATTGTAAAACCAAAAGCTCCTTCGCTATACTCGGAATCTAAAATGAATAAAACATAATGTTACTATCATAAAACTTTATTACTTTGAATGATTAAAAATAACAAGCATATTATTAAACCGAAAATATGTATGTAATTAAGACTTGATAGCAATTGAGTATTTAAAATCAATGATCTTCGATTTCGTTATCTATAAATAGATACTGCTCCAACCGGTCAAACTGCAGGCAACATACCAATCTGAAAAAAAAATTATACAATTTTTTTTATCAGACATATTTTATTTCGGAGTGATCAACCACTTACGAGTTTATATTGGATATTGAAACACAAAAACGACTTGTAATAATAATCGCAAGACGCCAATTCAGTAGGTGATATTATACTTGCAGCTGCAAACAATTATTGGTAATTTACTTAGAATTTGTTGACATCTCCAACGGTACATAGACACAAATACAAGTTCACATGTAACACTACATGTACACCCCTACAAAAATGACCTTTTTACCTCAATTTAAAACATCATGTAAACTGCAACATAGTCCCTTTTTACTTACCTAAAATAGATGGTGTAATTTCTTCCACCAACCTTTTTACATCTTTAAGTTTGAGTTAGGCAATGGCTTATTTCATATTATAACACTTCTTACATACTCAGTAGCGTCATTTCAGTTTTTTAGAGGAAGGAGCAAAAGATTTGACCGGACCATAATAAAACTGAAAGACATCTAATTCATCCGTCATAATTACATTTTTATCTCAATACAAATATCCTTATTACATATTTAAATAATTTTATACTTACTATCATAGGCATGATTAACCCATTTTTTCAAGGGACAACAATGACTTAATAAAAATATATATATAAAGGGATACCTATATATATTACCTATTAGCTACTACAGGAAGATTTAATTTAAGGTGAATTTTCACCTGATTTATATTCTATTTGAGCAAATCAGTATGTATTTACAAAAAATAAAACCCTGTCACTATGGACATCATTATAATCATAGAATAAATTAAATAAGAAAAGACACTCTTCAAAAATTTACATGGACGCCACTGTACATACTGCAGTAGGTTATAGGCTAGGTTACATGTTTTCGTTATTTTGGAGATAATTTATAAAAATCGTCATCATTTTAAAATAATAACAAACATACAATTTAGTTAACATATGTTAATATAATCTTATCGTATCACATCGTATCGGAATTCGAACATTTCGATAACGTTATTCTGATACGTTATTTCCGTACATGGAAATACGACAATATCTTCCCCTTTTTCCAACACTCGGAGATAAAAGGCTTATAGCATCTATACCAGTAATCGCAGAACAAATTGAATAACTGTATTTTTCTTGACAGTGTTTGTTTGCTCTATCGTCCTGTACACGTATCACGTGTTTTTCGGTACCAAGTTAATATCATTAATTACAAGGGAATTTATGTACAGCCAAATGGTAAAAAGCTTTTAATATTATATAAATTTAAATTTTGTATGCATAACACTACAAAAAGTGGCCGAAAAACATGGCATTGTAAAGGCAATAAGTGTAAAAGTAAAATACACATAAATAATACAGAGGACGAGATAATAGAAAAAAAAATACAATTCTAAATCACAATCACGATGAAGATATATCACTGAATTATCATGAAGTAAATAATTTACTGAAAAGAAAGGTTAATGAAAACAACATCAAAAACAAACCTTCGAAGTTTATTTTAATCGAAATAAAAAATGTTAATGAAGAAAATAGTTTAAATACAATTGATTACTGATCTTATTATTATCTATTAGAAAAAACATATATAATACTCGTAAATCAATTTTGCCACGTTTGCCTACAGATATCGATAAAGTTGTTGATACTATAAATTAATGAACATAAAAACAAACCGCTTTGAACAATTCGTTTTATTAAATGACTGAATTTATTAAAGGTACTCATATTATATATAATATTTTCTTCTATAACCAATTTAAAATTTTTCTATTCTGTCGAAAAAATATTGGTAGACGGTACTTTCAAGAATAAGCGAAATTTGTTTGCAAAAAAATGTATTATTCCAACCATCTACAATTATATCTGACGACTGACTTTGAAATTTCTATTCATAATTCAATTAGGAATATTTGACCAAAAGCGAAAAATAATGGTTGCAAATTTATTTGTACTAAAATTAGTTCAAAAAAATCTAAAAATTAGGCTTAACATTTTTAGACCTTTTTTTATTTATAAAGCATTTTTTAACATTTTAAGTGCACTTTTAGATTTTTAGGGCATTTTTTCGACCTTTTGAAATATGCATAGTGTTATCAAAAAATGTATTATGATTTTCTCCTAAAAGAAAAAAAATTCATATTTCGATTTTAAAATGTATTATGATTCACCGATTATTCCAGATAAATACAACTCCAATAAAGAAAACAATAAGCTATATATCGATATGTAATGTTATCGTATTGCACTATTTGCATTATTGTTGTTTTTAATAAATTATTTTATAATTTACAATTTAAAATAATTTTTAGATTATGTTTTTGAAGATTAAATCAATCTTTTTTTTATTTAAGTGAATTAAATTGTATTTTTTCTAGTTTTTCAGAGCATTTAAATCTTCACTCAAATTATAATACATCAAAATTTAAAAAAACAATTGTCTTGATTTTGGTATAAGTTACTATTATAAATATCTCGAGGATTCCGAATCTCTCATCCTTTAAATATACCTAATTATAACTATAACAAATTCCAATTTTTCTAGTTAATATAAGATTATTATCATAATTTTTTTTTTTTTTTTTTTTAAAACATTTATTTAATCGAATAATTCATGTAAATTTTGTTTAATTATTTTTACATTAATATAATAATGTTTGTAAGAATATCTATTCTTGTAACCCTGAGCTTTCACAGCACGAGTTTTCTCAATAAGACCCATTAACTAATAAAATCATAGAAATAAAAAAAAAAAATTAGACATTTTTACAATCAAACAATATTATGAAAGCATAATATGATATGATAAAAAGTTTGAAACAAATATTGATATAGCATTTTATTAAAATACGGGTAATTACCTTTCCAGTTTCTGTTGATGGTATATTGTAATTTAGGGCTACGGCAATATCCTCTAAATACAAAAAATATTATTTCAATTAAGTATTCATCAAAAAATATTCATAATTATTAAATTTACCAAAAAAAAGGAGCCTACATATAAGGGATGCATTTATGAGGAAGGAATCCATTGGGATCAGACTTCTCATGGCCTAAAGAAATAACTCTATTGGATATCCACATTCATATAATCCCTAGACCAATATTTTTCAACTTTTTCATATCCTCATGCCATTTACATATTTTTAAATTTTTCACGTTTCACTTGGCACGGTTATTAAGGTTTTTTTTATTCTTAGCAAAAAAATTAAAGCGGACATACTTCGCGAGATGGGTGGGTCACTGTTGTAGGTAAAAGTTGGAAGGATAGGATGAAGATAGAAATGTAATGTATATCCGTATACAATAATTATACATTGGTAAAGAAAAACAATTTTGAGCGAAATTCGGTAATACATGTTCTAAAATGCCATCATATTTACAATTTTTGTCAAAATTAGGTTTTTATAAACAATAATACTACATTAAACTCAACTTCTTGTTGACCACTAAGTACAATTTATAATGAACCTCTTGTTAAATTGTCAAGCATTTCTGTTTGGTCTAACAATTTTTTCTCCACAGAGTTCCTACCGAATAAATATTACATAAAACTCTCAAAATTAAAATGTCTATAAATGGCTCAAATGTTTTGAATAATTGTACAACTTCCAGAAAAAACAAATATAAGTTTTCTGTCCAAAATTCAAGTCTCCATGAATATTTTAAACTGAATTGCAATAAAAATACAAAATTTAAAATAATAAAATCATTAATTTTGAAAATGCTCCCGTTTTTCCTATGTTTTATCCTGGTTTTCCCAATTATTATGAAAATTACTTAGAAAATCAAAAAAATGACTTCTATTAGTACCATCTTGATAACAAATTTCTTTCAGAATTTTCAGAAAATAAATAGCTAATAAATAAATTTTATTTGCAGTTTAAAAAAAAAAAGACATTGTATACCCAATACATTACTCGCTTCATTTAGTATCTAAAATGTGTACGTTATTTTACATTTATAGAGTTTTTAATTATTATTTTATTATTGTTATTATTATTATTATTATTATTATCATATATATTTAAAAGAAAAAATTTAGATTATTTATGCACAGACATAATTTTTATGGATTAACGAACTACATATTGTTACTAATACATTTTTTTAACTTATCAAAAAATATCTTCACGTACCAATATTATTATCGATCAAGATTTAACGTTTATAACACCTACAACACCTACATACAGTATTAGACCGCGTTAAAACTGAATTGTAGTAATAAATTAATTATACCTTCGGTAATAACATACTTAACTATAGTATAATTACAAAGCAGGATTAAATAGTCAAATGCGTCACAATCGTTCCAAAATATTACACATTTATAACGTTAACGAAATAGTTATATTACCATGAGTGGCGTTGCACAGTTTCCCGAAGTATTCCATATCAGACGATTAATATTTTCTCTGAAATATAATATACGTGTGTATAAGGTAATCATTTTTACTTAGTGAATGTACTAAAAAAAAAAGTAGTGAAAACAATATTTTTTTTAGAAGCGTTTTAAGTTTTTATTGTGTTCGAAGAGTCTGTTAATAACAGACATTAATAATAAACAGTTTAACATAATTTACATGGGCATTATTTTTTTTCTATATCAAAATCATATGGTGATCCGAAATACGGAATTTTGTTAATTGTCATACGTACGTTCACGAAACACGAGCATAATAGAACTAGGCCACACAACACCGATACTTTCGACAGTCATTTTGCACAGGTCCAATAATATTGGCGTCAAAACTGTTTGTTAAAACCGGTATACATTCTCGTAGTAAATTGAAAATTAAACGATCGTGTACATTTTTAAACGTGAGTTGAACCATAAAAACATTGGTTGGGAAGCCTTTGTGTCTGCAATTTTTAAAGATGCAAAACACAAAGATTAACGAGATATTGGAAGTGCGTTCTTTAATTGGGAAAAAGTAACTGAATCGTTCATTTAAATGAGATATATATGATCGTCCAAGTATCGCAAATATGTTCACTGTTTATCAGTGGAGTGTCCATTAAAATCGGCACTAGATGCCAGAAAAATTTACCGATAAACAAACAGACATACTTCGCACGATGGGTAATTACAGGGGGAATTTAACGTATATCTGTATGCAACGATTAGTCACTGCTAACGAAAAACGATTCTAAGAGGAGTTCGACTGTACATATTTTGAAAAATAAATTAAGTACACTTTCCCATTTCCCTACGTTTCTTCCTGGTTTTTCCTATTCATAATGAAAACTCATTAGAAAATACAAATATCACGCTAGTCAGATTTCCTTCAAGTCAAGTAAAATTGCTATATAAGAAAATCGAATCAAAATTGTGGGTAATAGAAAAGTTGTCAGCAGAAAAATAAAAGAAATAAGTATTATTGTAAAACCAATACGTTCCTTACTCCGGCCAAAATCTAAAAAAAAACTAATAGGAAAAATACTGTTTTTGTGTTCTTATTTATTATTTTTCAATAAAATTGAATTATTAACTATTTTAGATTATTTAAAAATAATTATTGTGATGAATTTATTCGTTATTAATATGTTTTTCAATTATAATATTTGAAATTTAATTTCAAGCAGTAATTTGTTACCTACAAATTCATTTGTATTTTACAATCATTTTTATCATATTTTAATGTTTTAAAAAAATATTTTTTATTTTTTTTATTTCTAACCAAAAATAGTCATAACAGAATAAATTGATTTGCCTTATTAAACCTTAATATAAATGTTTGAAGAATTTAAACCTTTAATGAAATAAATAATTTATTAAAATATGTATTTGATTGAGAAATCGTAACGATAAAACAATATTAAATTGACTGTACATTCTAGTCATCCAACAATCATGATGCTGTTAATCACTTAATTTTTAATGTCAACAACATACGGAAAATACTAAGTGCCCAGTTCGAACGTTTCAGCATTAAAAGTTAACCGTTTTTATGCAGATAAAAGTTAAAACTTACTTCTAATTTAACTGTAAATTTTATATTTACTTAATTAAAACAATGTAACTAATATTTAACTAATAATTAACGGATTATTTCTACGAAATTTAAGATTTTTTTGAGTTTTTAAAAATATAATGTTTTTATTATTGTTAATCATATTGATTTCTCTTTACAAAATCATTAAATACAAATTTAAAACTCAAATTTAAATATATTCCAGGTAATTATGTGTATTTATATTAGACATATTATTAGAAATTACATATTTTCGTCTATGTCTTCTATTTGTTATAGGCGAGCTCAAAATCCATTCCATAACCTAGTAAGCTCATATTTGGTGTTTTTCTTTGCATATTTTGCTAATTTTTTTAAGAATTACTTAATAAGGATTTATTGAGCATCTAAATAGTTTTTAATAAAAATTGTATATGTGTATTCGTTTAACAAAATGTATCCTATAAAACAATATTATAGTTGAATACAAAATCTGTCATACAGTAATATTGAATTCAAACCTTAAAAGTAAAACTTATATTTATTATGAATGTATTATTATCGAATAATACTTAAATACAAAATATATTTATACGAGTGAATCGTTTGTTATCGTTTCGAGTTGTCCGTTTTAAAGCGATTAGATGTTGAAAATATTAAAAAACATTTGATGATTGAGTACAAAAAACTAGTGCAGTTGTTTACAGTAAAGAAAAATAAAAACAAAATAAACATCATTCTAAACCTAATACATTCCGAGCTACACTCCGAATTTAAAATATACCATTACATTATTTAGATATAACATACATAAATCTATCTGAACAAATTAAAATACAAATATTTTATAGTCAAACGCTATCTAGATTTTTCATTGCCATAACACGATTATATTATAAACTCTAATTTCACCACAAGATAGCTCTGCCAATCATAATATGATCAAAACTGGAAAATTGATATTATTCAATTCGTAAATATATTTATTATTTGTACAGTACTAATACTAATACAGTAACTAACTGTTAATTCAATTATTACTGATGAATAACAGGCAAATCACATTAAAATTATAAGAAAAGTACAATAAAGGTCGAGCCTCATGGTTAATCATATAATATTATAATCATAATACAGGGAACATAAATTTGCTACTTGATGTAATATTAAAAAATCGAATTTTATAATACTGACTAAATAGAATCGAAAAATATGCCCCAGAAGTGATTATGTTTTATACGATAATTTGAATATATTAAATGCGGTACTGAACTCCTGATGATTAAAAACTGATCAATTTATGATTATTAAAATATAATTTAATTTATCACTGATAATATTTAATTATAGTGTAAATTATAATCAATCAACACTTTTTTTTAATTAGAGAGAAGAGGAGTGAATTTCGAAGGAAAATTGTTCAAAACAAAGTGTTCCTACTAGGAATAGGAACTAGTGAACTACAGCAATTATTTAACATTGGGTAATAGACATCAAGATATCAAGATATAGATACAAGATGTCTGTATTTTTTCACGAGTCTGTATTTAATTTAACAATATAAAAATGAATAAAACATAATATTATCATAAAATCGTATTAATTTGGATGATTTAAAAAACTATTTAATATTTGAAATAACAAACGTAATATTAAACCGAAAAAATGTATGCAATTAAGACTTGATAGCAATTGAGTATTTAAAATCAATGATCTTCGATTTCGTTATCTATAAATGGATACGGCCATAACCGGTCAAACTACAGGCAACATACCATTCTGAAAAACAAATTGTACAATTTTTTTTATCGGCCATATTTTATTTCGGAGTGATCAACCACTTACGAGTTTATATTGGATATTGAAACACAAAAACGACTTGTAATAATAATCGCAAGACGCCAATTCAGTAGGTGATGTTATACTTGCAGCTGCAAACAATTATTGGTAATTTACTAATCAAAAAAATCAGTAGTAATACAATCATTTCCATGATCGACATGCGTTATAAATTGTTATGGATATCTTTTTTGTGTAAAACTAGATATGAACGTATTTGAATATGATTAAATAATATTACTTATTTTCATTGGGTACTATGAAGATACTTTACTAATTGGGTAATAATTATTCTATTCCATTATTCTTATTCTCTAATATATTTTATTTTCAAATAGACAATTTTCATTGTTGCTGTTTAATGTTCATTTAAGATAAAATATGATCGCTTTCTGTTTTTTTTTATGATTGAATACATTATATTAATCTTAATTTTTAAACGAACAGTAGGTGTAAAATATTCGGGTGATAAGCAGTTATCCTAAAAATGATAAGCATCCAAGATGATATGTAAAAAAAATTGTACAGATTTCGATGTATAATTTTGGACCGCTATTATTATTTATTCTTATCATTATTTGTCCTTATCATTTTTTGAATAATTGCCCCCTACTCTTTCCGAAAACGGTTCTCATAAAAAATATGTCACATTGCATGGTATCAAAAATTTGTTGACATTTCTAATGTACCTAATTTCTACGTTTTAAAACTTGTTACGATTTTATTATATTTTAAATGCATCTACTTTTTTAATATCGTCTACACATTGACATACATGTATAATTTTAAATGTAATGTTCAGTTCCGATTATTGGAACAAACCAACAAATTACCTATTTATATAATTCGAAATAATTTAAAATATTTTTGATAATTATTAAAAACGGTATAAACGTATAAACTATTAGGTATGATAAGTTATTGCATATTGTATAAAATAACGTGATAAGAAGACGGTGCATAAGTCACTCGGTCACTAAATAGTCTCTGATTTAACTGCAACATAAACGTGCATAGCTCTTGAATTAGTACAATATTTATGGCAATGCAAATGCAATTGAACGAACATTTTATCGAAAGTAATAAAAAAATTAGTGGTCAATGTTCGATGAGATACTTATCAAGTATCAATATTTTCTTTCTGGTAATTTGTTAATCAAAAATAATAATAAAAAATTATCAATTAAAATAAATAGAAAAAAAAAAGTAATTGCTTTACTTTCGTTGTAACATATTTCGATGATTTTTAAAATTGTATCTATTGGCGTTTCGGAAAAATACGTTGTTAGCACCGCTTGAAGTTTAGATTTGACAAATTTATTCTCGGAGCTTATCTAAAGAAAACAAAAACATTCTTGATATTCTTGTACGGATAAAGTATTGTTGTAGTTAGTTTTTATTTGTTTTTAAGTAAATTACCATATCTACTAGCCCGGCTATGCATTTCATGAAACACTGAAAAACAAAATAATACGTTAAATTAATTATTTACACAGTGCATACAAAATGATTTTCTTTTAACATAAAAAAAATATAATATTACATTATATAATCGTAAATATAACATTGTTATCATTTTTGTTTTTGAAAGATTTACGATTTTTTTTTTTTTATGGAATAGTACAATGTAAAATAGTAAAATGTATTTTAAAAAAAAAATGTTTCAACTTTTCAATCATAATCTATTCAAGTTGTTATGAAATATTTCTTATCTCGCCATATTTACTTGAAGCTATTTTTTCATTCGCCGTGCGCGTACTACTAGTCCGAAGGTAAAATACATTTTTTTATCTTATCTCTTTCATTATATCTGTTTTCCCTCTCATTGCTCGTAGACATGTGTAATTGCTTAAATGTGTATTCGGGGTTATCGAATTTGAACTTAACATTAGAAAAAGGCGAAATGGATAACAAAAATTATCTTGATTTTGATATGACACACTATCTTAAGTAAATGAGTATCTAGAGGTTTCTGAATATTCTATCCTAAGTTTAAATATAGGTACCTAACAAAAACTATTGAAAATTTCAATTACTCGTAGTTCTGGTTACTAAAAATGATATATTTTTTTTTTTTAAACATGTTTATTTAACCGAAAATTGTATGTAATTTTTGTCTAATAATTATTTTAACAAAAATAAAATAATATTTATAAGAGTGGATAACCCTGAACTTTGACAAGATGAGTTTTCTCAACAAAAATTGCAGTAATCAATAAAAACATATAAGAAAAGCACAATTAAAAAAATATTAAAATATTACTTTTGTACACATGAGTTGCGATAAAAATTAAAACCTCATATGATATAATATGATAAAAAGTTTGAAACAAATATTGATATAGCATTTTATTAAAATACGGGTAATTACCTTTCCAGTTTCTGTTGATGGTATATTGTAATTTAGGGCTACGGCAATATCCTCTAAATACAAAAAATATTATTTCAATTAAGTATTCATCAAAAAATATTCATAATTATTAAATTTGCCAAAAAAAAGGAGCCTACATATTAGTGATGCATTTATGAGGAAGGAATCCATTGGGATCAGACTTCTCATGGCCTAAAGAAATAACTCTATTGGATATCCACATTCATATAATCCCTAGACCAATATTTTTCAACTTTTTCATATCCACATGCCATTTACACATTTTTAAATTTCTCACGTTTCACTTGGCACGGTTATTAAGCTTTTTTTATTCTTAGCAAAAAAATTAAAGCGGACATACTTCGCGAGATGGGTGGGTCACTGTTGTAGGTAAAAGTTGGAAGGATAGGATGAAGATAGAAATGNTTTACAATTTTTGTCAAAATTAGGTTTTTATAAACAATAATACTACATTAAACTCAACTTCTTGTTGACCACTAAGTACAATTTATAATGAACCTCTTGTTAAATTGTCAAGCATTTCTGTTTGGTCTAACAATTTTTTCTCCACAGAGTTCCTACCGAATAAATATTACATAAAACTCTCAAAATTAAAATGTCTATAAATGGCTCAAATGTTTTGAATAATTGTACAACTTCCAGAAAAAACAAATATAAGTTTTCTGTCCAAAATTCAAGTCTCCATGAATATTTTAAACTGAATTGCAATAAAAATACAAAATTTAAAATAATAAAATCATTAATTTTGAAAATGCTCCCGTTTTTCCTATGTTTTATCCTGGTTTTCCCAATTATTATGAAAATTACTTAGAAAATCAAAAAAATGACTTCTATTAGTACCATCTTGATAACAAATTTCTTTCAGAATTTTCAGAAAATAAATAATTAAACGGAGTAAATTTTATACGCAGTATAAATAAAAAAAAAAAACACCATTTTGTAAAACCAAAACATTCTACGATTCGGTTTTGCTCAAAAAAAACCTAATCCTAAATCTAAAATTAAAATGTGTATATTGTTTTACATTTATGAAGTTTTTTTATTATTAAATAATCATAATTATATATGCACACTGCACAGGTATTATTTTTATTATAATTCGTGTGGATAAATGAACTATAACTATAACTATGTAATACCTTTTTTTTAACTTATCAACCTCTCATTGTCACCCATTAAACGCAACTCTGAATGTAGATAAATTTTGGAAAATATTCATTAATATTATTTATTTAAGTTTTTGCTTATTGTTATTATCGATTAAGATGTAACGCTTTTAATATCTGCATGTGATACTAGACGCCGTTTAAACTTGTAGTAATAAATTAATAATACCTTTGGTAATAACCTTCTCAACTCTAATATTATTACATGACAGGATTGATTAGTAAAGTGCGTCCGGAAACACAATTGTACAGAAATATTTTAAATTTATAACGTTAACAACATAGTTATGTTACCTTGGGTGGCGTTGCACAGTTTCCCGAAGTTTTCCACATCTGTAGCATTATATTTTCCCTGCAATATAATACACGTGTTAAGAGGTAAGGATAATTGTACTAAAAAAAAAAAAAACAATTTGAGAGTAGTGTAACAATATTTTTTTTTTGTAAGCTTAAAATGTTTTCGATATTTGAAAAAAGTTTGACATAATAGACGCAGCGTGGACATTGATTTTTTTTTCCTATACCAAAAATCAAATAATAATCCGAAATTCGGAATTGTATTTATAGTTTTATACGTACGTTAACGAAACAAGAACATAATAGGACCAAGCCACACAACACCGATACTTTCCACAGAGTCATTTTGCAATTATTTACTAAAACCGGTATAACTTCTTGTAGTGAAATTAAAAATCAAAATGATTGCGAACACCTTTTATACGTGAGTGAAACAATGTAGTCGGGAAGCCTTTTGATTTTGTGATTTGAGTACATGTAATATACAAAGGTTAACGAGATATAGGAAGTTTGTTTTTTAATTGAGAAAAATTAACCGAATCATCTCATTAAAATAGATATGATCGGATAATAATCGCAAATAATATGATTGCTGTTTTATAAACAGTAAACAGTTTATCAGCGTCTCGCCTAATAAAATTGAAATCTTTTGTCAGCATATTTTACCGATGATCAAAAACAAACATATGGATATACTTCGCAGGATGGGTGGATCACTTTTAGATGAGTATTTCAAAAGGTAGAAGAGAAATTCAAAGTATTCAAGGATTAATCTCTGCTAGCAAAAAACGATTCTGAGCCGATTTCGGATACACATGTTTTTAAAAGCCGCTATGATTTTAACGATTTGAAATTAACACATTTTGTAAAATTTCCCATTTTTTACAGTTTTCCCGTTTATAATGGAAACTCCTGGGAAAACAAAAAATATCACGTCAGCCATATTTCGTTTTAGAAAAAGTGCTACATTTGAAAATCAGAACAAAATTTCTGTTTGAATAGATGTTCATAAATAAAAAAAATAATAAATTCCATAGTAAAACCAATACATTTCTCCCCCCGCTCAGAATCTAAAATAAGCTAAACCTGTCCGTTGGGACGATATTTTTTTCAAGTAATGGCATAACCAGGCTATCTAAATGGTAATTCGATTTACGTTTTCACCAAATCTTTTTTGCATACTTACATTATAATTTGAGAACCATGTAAAGTTACCACCAATTAGAGAGTCTGCCGTGAAGAGGTGACCTCTCTAAAAATTGACCCACCTATCCTTCCTAAACAAATTTATATTTTCTTGCCTATTTATCATTAAAGTCATCGTATTATCGTATGTCATAACTCTTCTTGTGTTACACATTTGTTTAAACAAAAATAACAATATAGCTTTAATTGCAGATTGGTATACCAGTGTACCACTGTTACAGGTGGGAAGTTAAAGAGATAAAATACGTAGAGGTTTTTAATTTTTATCCTTGCGCAACAATAAATCGTTACGAATACTTGATATAAAACGTTACTGAACAAAGTTCAGTTAATCATATTTCGAAAAGCAGTGATTTTTGGATTTTCGTCAAAATGTCAACTTAAAAGTTTGTAAAAAAAAACTACTACATTACTCACATGAATTTTCATTTTTTATAGTTCCTCCAACCACTGATTTTATTTACTGGCTGGATTTTCGGTGATGTAAAATACAATTTTCAATAGATGACTATGAGAGAAAAAAACTAACAATAGTGATTATGTACCTATCCAGTTTTCTGGAATCCTTTTGATTATAATATCCTTTAGTTTTTGGGTTAGTTTTGCGGTCGCTTAAAGAGGCAGTTTTAGTTAACTTTTTTACCACTTTTTCAGAGAGCACTTCGAACCGAACCTTATTGAAATGTCTAAAAATGTCGAAAATGTACCGTATTTCTTTTCTTTTTTTCTAGTTGAAATAGCAAACTGAATAGATACTAAAATTGCCTCTTTAAGCGACTGACCGCAATCAGTAGTCCAGTGTCCCGATCTTTTTTTCGATCCTTACGATAAAATAACTTATAAATTGATAACAATGATATAAATTTCGTGTGTATATTTTAAATTGTTCAACACTTTAATAGTCAGGTATCATAACCATAAAAATAAGTACATATTATTCTGTCTATACGTGCCTACAATACAATAATAGATTTTATTATAATCTAAAACAATAACGTGCTATAGATATAATGTAGACAACAAAATACATAAAATGGTTTTTAGTCGTTATTGTGTAATATACTTGGAACACACGTTTTATTCTAACGAAATGGATATTGCAAAACATAATTCCACCAACATAAAATAATCATTAAAACGGCATAATATTCTACTATATTATTTTGATCATATAAAATTATACGAATAAAAACGCTTTGAATAGTGTTATAATTAAATAATCGAACCTCGATTATTAATCTCGATTATCAGGTTTTTCGCTCGTTATTTATTATAATAATATAATACGTCTACGTCATAGTAATTTTATAAATAATTTCCATTGAAACAGTACCTATACACACCTATATATTATTATGAATACAAAATATCCGTACATGGGTACCTACCGGCTACTAACATTTATCTTCAAAGTGGAACAGGCAAATTAAAACAAAAATATAGTGATATAATATAATAATAGTTACGAAAAAGTTTGAAAAAAAAAAACACTTTTCGTCATTAGAGAGTTGCGCGGAGATAGAAATTTGCATTCGCACTTTGAAACAATTAATAGACGATGACTGGATGAATAAATTTAGGTTATGCTCTTGTAAGTATTTCGCTACGCCGATTTAACATATTTATATACAAAATGAAAAGTAAACATCACGGTAGTTTGACATGTCATAAGAATGGCTATGCGTGTGAAATATTGAACTTTAGATATTTTAAGAGACGTTGTAAAAACCCACAACTATTGAGTTTGACGTGTTAAAACTAAATTTTCCACACGTTAAAAACCCAATATCCACAATTGCAATTTGAACGGGTATCTCTCTTGTTTTCAGCCAAGGTACTTATATACCTTTTCATATTCAGAGGATTCATTTCACTAAAAATACCAAACTATGAGTAGGTACATATTATGATCTACATGTATATATAACTGTAAATATATAATAATTTAGTAACTTAAATAGTTATGTGGTATTAAAAACATTTATCCATTATGGCACAAAAGAAGAAACAAATTTAAAGCTCAATTGTATATAATAACAATTATTCTCTATTAAAATATCAAAAATCAATTAATGACACATCTTGGTTGTTCAATACTTTTAAATTTGTTTGAGATGAATCGGGATCGGCCTTACAGGTAAAATTTTCTAGAATTTTTACCTAAGGAGAACGTGGCGAAACTTAGAAAAGAAAAATTTGAAAAATTAAAAAATCGGAAAAGTTTTAATATTCTTATTTGTTATCTAAAACACTTATTGTGGATGAAGATAGTAAAGATTTAACTTTTTATAATTTTCTTAAATGCGATTTTTCAAGCCTATCTAAGTATCTGTCGAACATTAACATTAATCAATCATTTAATAATTAAAATATAGATTTTGCCGTTGATAAATTCTATAAAATTAAAAACTATTTTACTGAATTGTTTGTCCCCAAAATGCAAAGTATTCAATTACCAGAATCCTGCTTGGTGTAATTTAGAATTACGAAGACTAGTCAATTTAAAAAAATTAATGCACAAAAAATTTTAAATTATAGTGTTGAAATTCAATTATATAATGTTTTCAATCTTATGTAAAGATAATGTCAAAAAATGGCATTAAGTACATTGCAATTCTATTTATATTCTTAAATTATAAAATAATATTGTCGCAATTTTTTTTTTACACAATTAAAAATAAACGTTAAAATGTAAAATATACCGATAAATTGTTATGCCTATTATTATTGAATATATATAGTACCAAAATATACATGGATAGTAATGTGTACTCAATGCTATTATTTACCTAAAATATTTAAAATTTAAACTATTTTAAGGTCAAAACGCTATCTAGATTTTTCGTTGTCGTAATACCATTATACTCAAAACAATAGTTTCATCACTAGATAGCGCTGCTTAATCATAATATGATCAAAACTGAAAATAGATCTTTAATAGATATCTACGCAAAATAATCGTATACAATAATAATTAGTATACAAATATTTAACAAAATATTTATACATAGTATGGTGTTATACGATACTAATACTGATCCGATAACTAATTCTTAATTCAATTATTACTAATAACTAATAGGTAAATCACATTAGAATTATTAGAAAAGAACAATACAGATCCAGCCTTGTGGTAAATAATATTATTATATTATATTTTATAATTATAGAATAAGTTATTGTTATAGTTTATTATTTTCACAATTATAATTTATTTAAAAAAAAAAAAAAACTATTGTACCAGTTTAATTCGAATTATTATTAATTTTATAATAATTCAAGTTCAAAACTGACTATTTGAAAACATAAGTCTTAGGTTAGGTATAGTTACGAGTAAAAGAATAAATTAAAGATTTTTATAACAAAGAAAAATATAAGAGCATATTATTAATTATTATATTTGAAGAGTTGATTAAATATTGCATCGTGAAATTTTACCAAATTAACGCCATCTATGTTTAAACCACTATAAGTAACCGCTGTAAGAAAGTATGTAACCTCTCAAAAGAACAATATTTTTCGCTATTACATTCGTATATCAGAAAATACTTAAATTTATTTTTTACTTTTTTTTCATATTTTTAAGATATTTATAACCACGACTAGGTTTATGTACGCTAAAATATAGTACACATGTGTTCTATTAAACATAAATTGTTTAACAGTTACAAACCATTTGCCTACTTGACATAATATTGAAAAACGTAATTTTATAAAATTGACTAAATGGAATCGAAAAATATGCCATAGAAGTGGTTATATTTTGAAAGGTAGATATTTGATACTGAACTACCGATGATAAAGTATCGTGGTCGGATAGGATCGGTAAAGTAGGATGATTGGATGTTTGTAATCGGTTTAATGACTCGGAAATCACTGATTGGTGCGTATGTCTATTGGATAATTCGTATAACAAGTGATAGAACAATCGCTGGGAAACTACTGGTGCAATCAAGAAATCCAGCCGTAGTTATCTATACGATTTTTTTATTTTTTTTTCGATTCGTTAAAATGATTGTACTAAACCGAATTTCGGTCAGAAATATTGTTCGAATGAAATATAATTCACCGATGCCATAAAGTAACAATAGTGATAATGCACCTATCCAGTTTTCTATATCGTTTCCGATGTTTATTTTTTAAAAAACATTTCATACATTTATAACTGAACATCACAAAACAGTATTTATGTTTTCTAGTAGTTAAGTATCGTAGATATAACGTAAAAATTTTATAAAAACGATTATAA